TGTATCCTGTAGACTCAGAGAACCGTGGTTCTGTTGTATCCTGTAGACTCAGAGAACTGCTCACAGACAGGTTCAGAACCGTCTTTTATTTTAAAGTTTGGTGACTCCTACATGCAGACAGGACTGAGATGTGAGGATCTGACTGGACCAGACCCTCGAACAGTGGAGGTTCTAACTGGAACCAGTGATGCCACAGGAGAACTGTTTCAGAACCTTTCAGCAAGAGGTTCAATGAAAAACCCCAAAAGGCGCCTCAAAAAACTTAATAACGGTTCCTTTAGGCTCCATAAATGAAACACCAAAGAACTGAAGCAGAACCAGGTTCTGTAAGGAACCATTTCAGTCGTTTGATAATCATCTCAGTTTTCTTTATTTCACTTTGAGACATCAGCAGTAGATTTACTGAATACAAACTTATGCACAGGTGTTTCTGTCAGAACAGTGAAGGTTCTAAGTGGAACAGTGATGCCTGGTAGAACCCTTCAGGTCCATTAAAAACCTCTCATCAGCAGAACCTTCTGTACAAACAGCCCTTTAAACAACAACAGCTTTGCTCCTTCAGGCACCACTAAAAGGCAAATGTAAGACTTTGCAGCACTTCTCGGTTCCCTCAGAACACCTTTAATGTTTTGGGTTCTGGTTTGTGAATCTTTGATGTTTCATCGACCAAAGATGAATCCAGAACAAACTAACGATCAGCTGCAGCTCTGATGAAATGCTGCCAAGACAAAGAAGTCCAGCGCACATGAAGAACCTTTAAAGAACAGCCTGTCAGATGAAGAGGTTCTTCTGTCGGTTCCTGAAGAACCAGAGAGCCTCTACAGAACCACTGTTGTTGTGCCGGTGTGATCAAACAGTGCCGTGGGAACGTGTCGCCGTAGAACCGCCCTCATGCTGTGAGTCATGGTGCCGGTGGCCTGACCACACATCGGACCGGCTTCAGCAGCGAGCCGACCTTTAGCTGCTCTGAGCACGTTGTGTTCAGAGCAGGAAAGAGGGCGCACATGTGAGGGGGTTTCCCGCTTCATGTTTCTGGTGGGATCCAGTCAGACAGAGACGAAACGGGGACGAGGGTCTGACAGACCTGCTGGGTTCCTGTTGTGCAGCAACAAGAGCGTCTGCTGAGACACAGACCATCAGTGGAAACACAGAAAACCCTGAAAAGACGTAAACATCGGAAAGAGACGCACAAACGTCAGATCAGATGTTATTACTCAGGTGAGCAGAAAGTTCTGTTCGGCTGCTTTTAAATGTCACTGTGGAAAACTAAGACATGACACAAAGTCTGTGATTCTCACTTCTTAGTTTATTCAGCAGAATCTGACTTTTGTGTTTGGACTCCGAAGCCTCCGTCACACATCACAGCAACAGACAGGTTACATGTGACGGAACAGACGCTTCATAAGAACCTCTTTAAAGCTCTAATATGTCGACTCTGGGGGGAGGAAGGTGGGTGTTCAAATGTCTGAAACTTTAGGGGCTTTATGCCAATTAACGGCTGTGGAAACTAATTTAAGTGGAAATGATTCAACCTACGCAGAACTTCACACACGGATCAGACAGAACAACAGAGTGTTTCTGGTGTTTGTCACGGTGCTGCAGGGATTTGGAGGTTTGTCAGAGAAAAGAGTCACGAAAAGCAGCGAGCCTGCACATGTGTCAATATTTAGAACAGATTCAGCTCCAGATCCAGAACCTGCTGCTCTGAGCTTCTTCCTTCACCTCCAAACTCATATCTTACTGCGTTCGTGGGATTGTTACGGGACCAAAGCGCCGCCCAGCCAGAGTCCCTGCAGGCTCCTCAAACTGCACATTTCCTGTTTTGTGACCTCCAACCTCCCAGCGAGGAGGACAAGCAGACAGACCGTCACCAGAAGAACATTCAGTGTGCTGCAGGTTTTACGGTAAAGATGAGACACTAACATGTGAACATGAGCCTGGACTCAGACCCTGAATGACTTGATGAATGACTGTTTTACACGCTGGCTGCTTCGGTGACGACTGTAAAGTCATAGAAGTAGTTTTCTGTTTGCTAACTGTGGCATCAGATCATGAGGAGACATTAAAGCTGCCGTCAGACAGAAACCGTCTGATCAAAGTGAAATACTGTTTTCAGTGACAGCTAACAGCTAAGGACGCTTCAGCACTGATAATTTAACCGTCTTATGACTGAGAACCAGAATCTTTACCTGCCTGCCCCGTTTCTGACTCATTTCGCTCTTTCTGACTCGTCACGTCCTGAAGACGCCTTTCTTCTGCGTCTACCTGAGCGTCAAACACTCTGTTTTTCATGGCAGCGAACATGGAGGTGAAGCAGAACTGCAGCTCCACCCACAACACCGTGTGCACATGCAGAGCTGGATACCGATGCAGAGACGACTCGTGCAGCATGTGTGTCCTGATCCCAACCACCACCCCCACCACCACCCCCACCGCCAAAGCCACCGAGGCTCCGCCCACCGCAGGTGAGACACACCTGACCAGCGAAACATTTCTGTCGCTCTGCACACGAACGCAACATAAGAAACCCCACAGATAGCTCTACAGAATGATGAGTGCTCCTACAACAGCAAAGAGAACTAGTTGAACACCAGGAGGAGAGTCTGCTGCAGAATGAGCTATAAATAGATTCTGGTTCCACCACAAAGCCGGCGGAGTCGGCTGTGGTCTGAAATGTGGCCTTCTGCCCTCGTTAATGAATTAATTAGTGTGCAGGTTGAACCACTGGAGGTCAGCAAACACACCGTTGATCAGCTGTTTTTACATCCAGAGTCTCTTCTGATACCAGTTTGTGCAGCAAACAGAAATAATGTCTCAGCAGCCAGAGATCAGCAGAAAGAAGCAAAGCGGTCACACATTAAACAGACAGAGTGTTGGAGCAGAGATCAGATCAGATGTTCATTCTCTACTGTTCTGACTCTCAGAAACCAATCCATGAGGTCCCAGACTGTGTCCTGTAATTACAGAGCGGTGCTACCAACGTCTCTTCATGGAGTCGAGCTGCACATTTAGATCGCGTGCTGCTCGATGACTCACGTTTTTTCTTTTTCACAGTATAACAGTTTGTTCCATCTGTGTGTCATCGTTCTCCATAAAAACAGAGTCGATCTTATTTTAACCCTCTGAGAACCGAGCAGCAGTTTCCGTCTCATCTTTCTTCACTGAGCTTCATGTTTCAGCATCAAGTCCTGCAGCTCTGTGGAACCAGAACCACATGAAGGAGGAGACAGAACTCAGAGATGTCTTCTGTCAGCAGGACTCAGAACCATGAGACCAGAGAGAAGAAACGAGATCTTTGATTATTTATTTAACAGAAATGTAAAAACCTGGAGCCAACATGTTAGAACAGTTGTTCACACGCTCCTCAGAGGTAGCTGACTGTTCATGTTCTACATCCTGACACAGTTTAGTCTCTTCTCTGTTGCTTTGTGTCTCTGGTTGGATGTCTCTCGTCCCCCTTTTGTTTCTTACTGGTCGCTTTGAGTCCCATTTGTCTGTAGTTGTGTTGTTTCCTGTCTCTCTGAGCTCGTCCTGAAGATGTTGAACTATCTCCATGTTCACCTGGAAACTCTCTGAATGTTTCACAGGAGAAACTGAATTCGGCAGAACTCCAAACATGGCAGCAGGTTGTGGTACTACAGGGAACACTGTTACCACGGCAACAGATGATGCTGGTAAACATGTTCTGACCTCAGTTAGCAACCGTTTGTTTCCGCAGCAGTAACCACGGCAACAGGTCACACTCACACCAGGTGACAGGACGTAGTTTGGATGATGGCAGTAAACGTTTCCTCTGAGCTCTAACAATGTTCTCCTTCCAGCCCCTGAACCCGGAGACCCCACCACCCTGCCGGCCCCCCGGGCGCCACTCAGAGGTACGGTAACCTGATGCTCTCATGACCTCACAGAGTCTACCTGAGCAGGTGTAAACTGTCCTCTGACCTGTTCCAGACACCGTGTGGTTCCTGGTGATCACCGCCCTGCTGTGTGCAGGAATCGCTCTGGCTGTGGCCGCTAGAATCAAGCCCTTCCTGCGCTGGATCCGGTCCAGATACGGTCAGTAGATGATCAGAACTAATCCTAACTAACTCATTTTCACACAAGTTGCTCCAAAAACTGAAGCTGCTCTTGTGTCGCTGCTCAGGCTACTTCCTGGCTGAAAAACCAGCAGCTCAGAGCTCCGAGGACGAAGATGTGTCGAAGCCTGTCCAGGAGGTTTGTGGGAAATGTGAGCAACTCATCGACGTGTGTGTTAAAGACTAAAGAGGAACTGGAGGAACTTTAGGGGAACGTTTGGTGGAACCTAGCAGATGCTGAATGTCTGTCACTGCTGTGGACTTTAAGGGGACTGAAGCTGCTGAAGACGTGACGCTTAAGACTGACGCTGCTTTCTGAGAGGAAAAGCTGGACAGCTGTGATGACAAAAGTGTAGAAACACTGAGAACTTGGAAGAACCTGGAAACACACAGTGACGCTGTGACAGAAGAAGCTGTAGTGAGTCGCTGAAAGCTGTATGTACCATAGTACAGGACTCTGAAGGCGTCTGCCTCCTCTACATTTGTGTTTTTGTGTATATATCTGTGTTCACTGCTTTACTGTTCAGACCTCGGGGATCAGGTCTGGATCGGGGAGGTTTGTTGACATTTTAACTCTGCGGACTCTTGGTCGTGTTCCTCGAGCTGTTTCTGGTCTGTTGGAGGTGAACTCTGCTGCTGCCTCGGTGGCGTCGCTCCGTATCAGAGCAGAAACACATCGTGTACGTATGTCTGACATCAGGTGTGGATGTTGTGTAATAACTTCATACATGTTTCTACTTAGTTTTCTTTATTCAAAATAAAATGTCACTTGGGTCACAGTGGCTGCTATGTACACAAACATGAACCGCTCACAGCTCATTTAAGAGTATTTACAAGAGTTTTAAATTAAAACTTACAAAGAAGATCATGTTCCTGCTGCTCTTCTAGTCTCCATGCTCCTCTAGTCCCACTTTTATACTCCCTTCAGATAAAGAAAGTGTCTGGAAGCACCAGAACCTCTGGTGTCTGCATCATAGCGCCTCCTCCTTGGACATGTGGAAGTCCTTCCCCTGCTCCTGGGAGGGGAAGAAGATGCTGTCGCCGCTCTGCTCCTCCTCAGAGATGTGAGGAGACGAAGGCTGGAAGACGGGACGGCCTCCGTCGGGCTCCGGGCTGCTCCGCTCGGCCTCGCCTGCCTCCACGGTCGGGCCCACGTGGCCCGTGAACTGGCTGAGCAGGCTGAAGACGACGGTGCCGGCGTTGTGCACGTGGACCGGACCTGCAGCACATGAAGGAGGAGACAGTGACACAGCTGCAGCTTCACACGCTCGGCGTTTCACAGCAGTTTCATGTCTGTACCCAGATTAGCTGCAACGGACGAGTTGGGCTGCTTGGCGCCGAACGAGTCTCGGCTGAACGGACGAGTCGAGTCCTTGGACTTGTGAGACGCGTTTTGTCCTTCCTGAAGGACGAGAAGGTGAAAGTCAGAGATGATGCAGCAGACAAACACAAAGCCACAGGATTTGATGAATGCAGTTAAAAACACTGAAGACAAACTAGCGACTCTTTATCAGAACAGAGTTCTAACGTGGACATTATTTACAGCTTTGGCCTGTTTTTCTACGGTTAACATGTAAACGATGACTTTATCTGTAATTAACAAAACAGAAAATCAGTAAAATAAACATTTAAACATTAATTAACAATTTTTCAAACGTTACTTATAATTTGTCTTTTAAATAACAGCAAATATCTGTAAAATAATATTTTTAGCTGCTTTAAATACAGTAAAACTGTAGTTTAGTGTTCAAAATTTGTAAAAGAATGAACTACTATTTATACTCATACATTTATACAGATTTCTGATATCTTTTACAGTTTTTTTGTGGGTAACGTAAATGAAGACCGTTGTCTGTGACTTTCTGAGATATCATCTATAGTTTAATCTGTAAAACACCAGTAAACTTGTGATTGTAAACCCTCCACTGTGTGGCGCTCTCACCTTGCTGCAGAGCTTAGCGATGGCTGAAAAACAGAAAAGCAGGAGTGAGTGAAAAGTGCTGAGTCATGCTGACAGACATGAGTCAGGGTCAGCTCCAATCATCATTTAAACTTCGTTCCTCCTCAGAGGAGCTTCAGCTCAACACGTCTTCTTACTTTGTCTGAAACACGTCTCGTCTCCGGGCCGACGGACACAAAACAGGATCGCCACGGCAACGCAGGACATGACCACCACCGGACACAAAATGGCCGCCAGCACTCTGGAGTGATCTGAAACTGACCAGAACCGAGCTGTGATGAAATGATAGTTCACTGGACAGTTTGTAGATGTTGAGCTGGAACCAGCAGAAAGTAAAATGTTAGTTCAGATCAGGTGAAGCTGTTTGGAGGCTCCACAAACCTCTGGACTGTATCCAGATAATCGCAGAATTCAAGGTATTTATAAATATAAAACGTGAGACGCTTCTCTGTTCAGTCCGGGTTAACACCACAGTGAGTGAAAGCACTGAACACACACGTTTGTTGTCAACCAACAGAAGAACATCTGGAGGCATCAGCAGAAGAACCCCCAGCAGATGTTAAAGGAACCAACATGACCGCCTGCACCAGAGCTGGTTGTGTTTCACAGCATCGGTGTGTAGATAAGTGACAGACGGTCAGGACCACGGAGTGATGTCTGACACACACAACAACAACTAACTGTGTATATTAAGGCCTGAATTTATTTTTCTTCATGGTTATTTAAAGGGATGAAGGATATATCGGCGTCCACATCGGTATCGGTCTGATGAACAAATGTAGCCGCTGATCATCCACCATCAGCGCCTTCGTCTCTACGTTTGATATCGCTGCTGTTTCACTGATGTTTTTACTGAAACGGTCCTGGACTTAAACATGTTAAACATGTTCTACTTTGTGATGTAATGAAGCCGGCTATGTGGTCTAATTTGGGTTCTTTTAAATAGTTTCCACGTTCTCACAGTGCTCACTTATACTCATTTTTCAGGGTGAAGGCAGGTTCACCTGGACAGGTAACCAGTCTATCACAGGGCTACACTTAGAGACAGACAACCAAGCACACCTACGGACAATTTACAATCACCAATTAACCTCAGCATGTTTCTGGACTGTGGGAGGAAGCCGGAGAACCCGGAGAGAACCCACGCTGCACGGGGAGAACATGGAGACTCCACGCAAGAACCGGCGACCTTCTAGCTGTGAGGCAACAGTGCTACCAACTGCGCCACCTGCAGCCCTCAACAACAAAAATCAACATCGGTAATATCGGTTATCGGCGATATCAGAAATCTTACTATCGGATATTGGTATCGGCCAGAACTTTTCATATCGTGCATCACTAGTTATTCATATCTGTGTTAAATTATAGATCATATTTAGTAAAAGCACAGAAAAAAGTATGAATTTACACGTTGACCTGAAACAGGCCAAAGCTGTAAATAATGACCGGAGACCAGATAAGTGATGTGGTGCTGCCGGCATCACTAAACGTTATCTCAATCCTTTTCTAACCAATTTAAAACCACGCCACTCACCCTGGGTGCTGCTGTCTGCTGCCGGGACGGACTGAGCTCCACATCTGTGAGGGAGGACGGACAGCTGATCAGAGACCAGAGCACTGTGTGGGATTCCAACATGACAGTGAAGCTGCATGCTGAGCGATCTCCAGCTGCTCTGAGACTCACCGTGGAGGTGAGCAGCGTGTGCTGGAGGTGCCGGAGGTGCTGGAGGTGCTGGAGGGGCTGGAGGTGTTGGAGGGGCTGGAGGAAGCTGAGGACGACGTCTGCTGGTCTCTGGTGGACTTCACTGCTGCTGGAGAACACAGAGGTTTGGTTTCAGAGGTCAGGACCGACCACTCTAACTTCTCTCCCTGACAGTCGGTAGAAGTCGGATCTGGACCATAAACTGCACTCATCTGCTTCTTTGTGCTGCTGCTGTCAGCAACACCAGAAACTCTCCTGTGAAGACCACCGCCGACCTTCAGGCCCTCAGAGGCCCGACACCAACACACCGGCATGTGTTTGGGTTCTGATTCTGGTCATACAGTGGATCTGAGTCCAATGACCTCTGCTTTAGCTCTGGTTTGGTTCTGCTCAGGGACAGATTCATAAACAAGCATTCAGCTGGAAGTTCTCTGTTTTGTTGGTCTTTAACGTTGAATCGTGGTCAATAAAATCTGGCTTTTTTTTTTTTTTTTTTTTTTTACAAGAAATTACCAAAACAAACAAACAAACAAACAAACAAACAAACAAACAAACAAACAAAAAACACTCATTCATGTCAAAGTAAAAAACAGTTTCTACAAACTAATGTTAATGAACTAAATGACGGTCCAGCTGCTCCTCTGTGGGCGTAAAGCTTCACTAAGGTTCAGTCAGAAGCTGATGGAGGTCAACATCGTGGAGAATCGACTTCCTGGGCTGTTAGATGACACTCTGTCTCTAATGCTACAGGCTGACATATTCAGAGCTCTGCGTATTTTAAATGATCCATATTTGTAGTTCAGGAACCAAAGGAAAGGACTGAAGGACTTCTTACAGTAAAACTAATCTCACTGTTGACGTGAGTGTTTTAAACGCTGGACCGTCACTGATCCGTATCTCAGCTGGACGTTAGCCTGGTTCCTGGTCCCTCATCCAGCCGGAGCAGCTCCGGGTTCGTCTGTACTTACGGGTAAACTCCCTGTTACAGGTGGTTGATCTAAACAGCTGCTCGACAGTCACTCTGGACTCTGAGAGCGTTCAGGTTTAGCTTAGCTCCTCTTTTATGTGTTTGGATTCTGCTCCACGTCTGCTGCTGTTGGACTTTACAAACTTTTGAACCCTCTTGGCCCAGTCTTCCCTTGACACAGAGGTTTGGTCTGAGAGGACTTCCTGGTTAGACGAACAGGATGAGCGGCCTGGCGCCCCCTGCTGGCTGCTCTGTTTACCGGTTGTAGTCGAGTCCTGGATCTTCTCACACACTCTGCAGTTGTCAGTTAATGGGGACGTCTCAGTGCATCGAAACCCGGGCGCACAGCTGCAGCGCAGATCCGCCGTCCTGCTGCAGTTCTGAACCACCACCAGCTGAAAGTCTGACAGAAACACAGACGGTTTTAACGGCAGCTCGAGTCAGTAGGAAGAGTTTCTGGTTTGTTGTGTGCTGAGAACAGCCCAGAGGTGGAAACAGCAGCTGCCCTACCTGCTGAGCAGTCTCTGTAGCAGCGGTGGCAGCTGTCCTCTCGGTTCCAGTCCGTCGTGAAGCTTCCAGGAGGACACACTGCACATTCAGTACAAGACTTCTGATAGTGACCTGACGGAGCAGAGAGAAGCAGGAAGACGCAGCACAGCGCATGTTAATGAAGGATGTGGTCGTAGTCGGCTGCAGCACACACAAGCTGTTTGTCTCTGACCCATCTCAAGCTGCTTCATTCATTATTAACAGAGCAGCAGTTAAAAGTCTGACCTGCAGGACACAGCCAGCACTCTCTGCCTCCCGTCCAGTAGGTCCTCTGCATCTGGAACACGTCAGCACAAGTCAACACCAAACCACACAGCAGCCCGCCACATGGTCGTCTTCACACGTCTGTCACACTTTGGCTTTCAGGGAATTATACAGAAATAAGCAGGAGGAAGACTTTACCGGAGCGGCGCGGCCCAAATGGACCGACATCATCAGAACAGTAACCAAGTGCTGCATGAAGCCCATCTGTGGACGGAGAACGTTCACAGCAACGTGATGTCAAGGAGCCACCTTTCTTTCTTTTTTCATATTTATTTTTATTGAATTTTCACAGATATACATTTACAATAATCAGAGGTACGATAGTCAGGGTGAGATTTGAACACAGCAGTCAGGGTGTTGGTAGAACCTCCCAAAGCACCACCAGAACATCAACAGAAACAAGGAGCCACCTTTCAAACTGAAGTCTGTAACATAAAACAGAAGAAAAACAGCATCTTTACCTCCGTGATGACTCGTCTTTTGTTCTGCTGCTGTTGTTGTGCTCACTTCCTCAAGGTGTGACTGGCTGTCTCCGTGTCAGTCTACCCGTCGATGCATCACTGTTTCCTTACCTGTTACGTCTTCCTGCCTCCCGCCCACTGATCTCCTGCTGTCCTGTTTACTGCCTGACTGACGACGCTGCTGCTGCAGCAGCATCATCACTTTCCATCTGAGATCTGACGGATTGCAGAGAAAGAAGCAACTGTTCTCTGTAGAGCGCCAACAGCCCGACGGAGGGACAGACGGTTCTGAGAGAACCCACTAGGCCTTTATTTCTCATCTAAGGTCGTGTTTTTATCACCGTTTCTTCAACTCATTTTATGTGGAAGGTTAAGTAAAGGCTCAGTTCATCCAAACTCCAAAGAGAGACAGAAAAAAACTCTGAACTGAACAATTACAGAACCCAGCTGCAGTGAACACC